GTAAATCCTCTCTGCTGGGGATGTCCGTCCGGGAACGGATCAAGTAGTGACGCACCACAACACCCAGGCGTCAGTCCAGTGTTTACTTGCCCGCTCGAGTACACATTTCCCTGCCACACCTTGCTACAGGGCCTGTGCCACCCACCTGAATAGCTCCTGAATGAGTGCTCTGGATGCCTGCCTTGGCCGTTCCCTGTTGCAGCTTCCGGTCGGAGGTTGAAATTCAAGAAATGAGTGACAGAGACAGGAAAATGGGTCACGGGTGGCTTTGAAAGAGGCAGAAATTCAGGATTTTGAAAAAGAAAATCTGTTACAAAGCCAAGTAAGAGAGAGGCCAATAGCAACCACTAAGCTATTATTACTTGTAGATAAGGCTTCCTCAACTTCTTGTGCCCTCTAGATGGGTTGGGCTCTCGTTTCCAACTTTCACAACCAATTCTACCCAGAGATGACAGGAATTGTAGCGTAACACAGCTGGAAGGCAGTATTTTATCACAGGCAATACTACAAATTAAAGCCCAACAGCAGGCCTGTAGCCAGGATTTTGATTCGGGGGGAGCTGAATTTGATTCGGGGGGGGGGGGGGCTGAGTCTGAGTGAAAGAGGGTTTACCCTAACAAACCTTTTTTATCGTTAAAAGATTGCATGACAAAATGGGTGGTACACTTTGGACACTCAATAAAAATGGAAAATGGGAGAACATCTGGAACACCTGTACAAATATTCATAGGATCTCCAAGAAAATTCGTATAAAATGATGTACCAATGGTACATGACACCACAAAAATTGACCAAAAGCTATAAAAACATCAAGGACCAATGCTGGAAATGAGGAACCCATGTGGGTACATTTTATCATATGTGGTGGGGCTGTAAAAAGGCAAAAGATTACTGGAAGAGCATTCATGAAACAATACAGGAAATATTTAAAACAAAATTCCAAATGAAGCTGGGTTTTGGGGGTTTTTTTGTTAGGAATGACTGACAGGAATTTCAACAAGAATCAAGTGATTGTATTAAATTATATGGTCATAGCAGCGTGAAAATGGAAGAGTGAAGAATTTCTAACCAAAGAAGAACAGACATTGAAAATACTAGATATAATGAACATGGACAATCTAACATATTATCTGAGGATCCATCAAGGCAAAAGGAAAACAGCAACAGACTGGAAAGCTCTGAAAAATTATTGAAAACAAGAAAAATTATTATTCTAAACTAGCTACCCCCTGCCATGCGTTGCTGTGCCCCAGACTGTCTATATGTGTTTTGTGTGTGTATATATATTTGTGTGTATGTGTGTTTGCATATATGTGTGTGTGTGGTTTTGCACATGCGTTAGTGTATATATGTGTGCATATATATATATATATATTAGTTTTGTGCATGTGTTGTAATGTGTCTTTTTGGGGGTTTTTTGGGGGGAGGGGGCTTTTTAAGTCCCTTCCGCTGTGTTTTTCAGTGTTTTTATGAGTGATGGTCACTCGTTGGCCTGATAGGTGTCTTGTGTCCAAATTTGGTGTCATTTTCTCCAGTGGTTTTTGAGTTATGTTAATCCCACGAACGAACATTACATTTTTATTTATATAGATGTATAAAGACGGAGTGAATAAAAGTAATATGAATTGAATTCGATATAATACCCAGATGAAAAGAATGGAAGTCAAACAAACTTTGGAGACCTCCTATTTTTACTTCTTACTATTTTGCTTTTTTTTCTCCTCACTTTTTTCACTTTTATTCCTATTATTATTCCTATTATTATTATTTTCACCCACTCCCATACCTCTTTACACCCATACCCTGACTCAGGGGTCCTCAAACTAAAGCCCGGGGGCTGGATGCGGCCCTCCAAGGTTATTTACCCGGCCCTCGCTCAGGGTCAACCTAAGTCTGAAACGACTTGAAAGCACACAACAACAACAACAACAACAACAACAACAACAACAACAATCCTATCGCATCAGCCAAAAGCAGGCCTACACTAATGTTTATATTTGTTAAAATTGTTATTCATTTTAATTATTGTATTATTTTAAAGTGTTTTTTGCACTACAAAAAAAGATATGTGCAACTTGCATAGGAATTAATTCATGCTTTTTTCAAATTATAATCTGGCACTCCAACAGTTTGCGGGACTGTGACCTGGCCTGCTGTTTATAAAGCTTGAGGACCCCTGCCCTAACTCCTTGAAATAAAAATTATTTTGAAAATGAACACAACCTGACTACCAGTATTTAAAAACTCTAAAATTGATGGCGGAGGGCCCCCGCCAACGATTGGCCTGCACTGCAGCGGAGAGTTCCGCAGTTCCTGGTTGTCACAATTGGAAGAAACTGGTGAAATGTGCTCCAGCAGGCAGCTCAATAATAAGACTGCACTCAGCCTTTCTTTGCTTTCCCTTCTTCCTACATTGTAACATTCCCCTAATAAAGCACTTGAAACTTGCAACATTTAATCTTTCCGCTTGATACTTTTGTATCTTTCCTGCCTCAGACTAATTCAACATTAAAATAACCCTTTTCCCAGGCTCCAGAGGGCCGTGGGCCTGCGGGGAGGTGCCTCCAGGCACCCCCCGGACCAAGGATCTGTGTTCGCCCAATTCGCGGATACTGAAACCGCCATTTTGGACCCCAGTAACCACTAAAACAGTAATATGGCGGATCGGCGCCGTTCTAATTTTGTATTTTTCTGCCATTAATTCTAAGACTAACTGCTATCTTGCTTTCCTCATTTTTGGGCCCCTGCGCTCGGGGAATAATCGTTTTGTTTAAAGTATTATTATTAGACAGCAAACAGCTGATTGCCAAAACTCTGCTGGCTCGGTGAAAGCAGCCTGTTATTTCCTTGCTACCACTCATTCCTACTCGTGCCCTGCCATCAGGGGCTTGCTGTGGGCACCCACAGGAGGACCCGGAGAAGCAGCCAGGCCGGCCCCCGGCCCCAGAGCGGAAGATCTAGTTCGCCAAGGGCCGAACTATGGATTCTGTTGCTTCCTGACCCAGCGCACATAACTGGGTTCCTGTTTCCTCTTTGTGAACTCTCTGACTTGTGCACTGGACTACGGACTCTTTTTCCCTCACTTATTGACTTTCTGCCTTATTGTCTTGGACTGTTTCCCTGCCATACTTTTGGACACAAACCTCAGACCGGGCTTGCCTGGAGGGACAAGCAGCCTCAGCCTACGTGCGCCTTCACCAAGAAGACTATGATTCCTACAAAAATAAAATACATTTATTATTATTTTTAATAAACTTTGCTGGGATGGGGATGGGAATTCATTTATGAAATGTATGAAGTATATGAAGTATATAAGATGTATATAGTGGGATATCATATGAAATGTACCCTGATTCCCCTTCCCGCCTTTCCCTCTGAACTTCGCCCCAAAAAGGAATGTGACCTAAGATTACTGCAAAGAGGAAATCCTTTGTCCTCTCGAAACTGATCATATCTACATCTGCATGGGCCGCAGGATTGACCCTTCCTCAACTGGCTTTCAGAGCAGACAGCCTAGGGCGGGAAGGGTCAACAGAGACATAGGAAAAAAGGATTGATTAACTCAATTTTTGGTATTTGTTGATCCCCCTTGTTTACAAGGCCCCGAGGTCCAAATACCATCAATAGCTCCTTTTCCACCTTTCTTCATACTTCCTCCCAAATCCAATCATGACCGGGAAACTCATTGTTCCCCTTGTCTGCCACCCCGCCGATAAGAACAAAGGCTCAGTAACAGCTGGCGGATGCCCCCTGGGCACTCCATTTCCCCCCTGAGCTGTCAAACTTCGTCCCGCCTCCTCGCTCCTGATTGGCCAGGACCTAGGAAGCGAGCGGAGGGCGCCCATTGGCCCTCCCGAGGCGGAGAAACGCTCCCATTGGCTCCTGACGGGGGAGGGCGGGATTACCTCCTCCCAGCTGTTCCAGCCTCAGCCAATCAGCGTGAAGCCGGCTGTCAGGGGGGGCGGGCGGGATTTTCAAACTGCTTTCTTTGTTTCACTCTGTATAAAAATGCCTGGAAATTCTTGTGCTGTATGCTTGCAGTGGAATGATTCCTGCAATGCATCTGATCTCAGCTGAATCACAATAAACGCCTCGGTCACTGAACCTCTTCAGCCTCCGGTGGGATTAATTCTTAACGTTTTTTCGTTCTTTGGATTGGCCTTCGCTGGCTGCTCACCGAGGTCAACGGACCCCTTTAGCGGTCTTCAGGGATCTCTCCCACTGGGGGAGATCCTCCAAAAGAGCTCGATATCAAAATCAGGACAGTAAATAAAGAACAACACTCAGAAATCAGGGGAATTCCAGACAAGAAACAATCAGGGCCAGCTAACACCTCCCAACAAAGAATTCCCCCAGGCAGGAAGCAGCCTGGCTTTGAAGTTGCAAGGCCATTCAATGCTAATCAAAGTAGCCAATTGCAACATTCACACTTGCCTCAAGCAGATAAGAGTTCTTACTCCCACTCTGGACATTATTCCACAAATATATAAACCCCATTTTCCTAGTTTCCAACAGACCTCACAACCTCTGAGGATGCCGGCCATAGATGTGGGCGAAACGTCAGGAGAAAATGCTTCTGGAACATGACCATATAGCTCGGAATACTCACAGCCATCCAGGTTATCTGCTTTGAATTGGACTATATGGTAGTGTAGATTAATATAATCCAGTTCAAACAGATAATATGGATCTGCTTTGACAATCTGGATTATTTAGCAGTGTAGAAAGAGACTCAGTCAAGTCACACTCTCACTCGGTATAATATTCTTAGAGGCCATTTTTAAGAATTTCCCTAAAGTCCAACTTTTGCAACTTTGCGTTGCTCCAAATCGAAGTGATTACACTCTGAGAAACCCAGGGTGGGGGAAGAGTCAGAATCAACTCGGAAGTTGGACGCTTTGTGTCACTCTACTCCTTTAGTAAGACTTTGTTGCTTTCTTCGCCCCGCCCACTGCAAGCGTGGCGCTCGATGGCACCTAGCATTCCCCGCGCACCTAGCATTCCGCGCGCTGCCCCCTTCTGGCCTTTCCTCTCCTTCTCCGGAAGCGGAAGTCGTCTGGCGACAGGGGGATGCGGAAGTGCCGGCGACGGCGGGGCAGCTCGGTTGCCCAGCGGTTGCCACCATGGCAGCGGCTGAGGGCCCGGGAAAAGGCAATGGCGGCGGCGGGAGCGGGAGCCCGGCGGCCTCAGGAGGTGAGCTTGCCTGGGCCAGAGGAGCCCTTCCTTGAGGGGACAGCACACAACGCCAAAGGGGTCGCTACCAAGGCTTATATACAGAGGGCTCTGTGGAGCTTATTTTGCCACAGGTTTTTATGTCAGAGAAGCCGCAAGGAAGAACATGTGTGGCCTGGGGGAGTGGGTGCCCTTATTTACTGCATTTATTTCTATTTTAATTCTATTTATTTATACAACCCTATACCTCAAATTGGGACCCACAGATACAATGAGTAAAAACAGTACCACAAAGGTTGTTGTAGGTTTTTTCGGGCTATATGGCCGTGTTCTAGAGACATTCTCTCCTGACGTTTCGTCTGCATCTATGGCAAGCATCCTCAGAGGTAGTGAGGTCTGTGGGAACTAGGAAAATTGGGTTTATATATCTGTGGAATGACCAGGGTGGGACAAAGAACTCTTGTCTGCTGGAGCTAGGTGTGAATGTTTCAACTGACCACCTTGATTAGCATTTGATGGCCTGGCAGTGCCTGGAGCAAACTTTTGTTGAGAGGTGATTAGATGTCCTTGTTTGTTTCCTCTCTGTTGTTGTGCTGTTGTAATTTTAGAGTTTTTTTTAATACTGGTAGCCAGATTTTGTTCATTTTCATGGTTTCCTCCTTTCTGTTGAAATTGTCCACATGCTTGTGGATTTCAATGGCTTCTCTGTCACGCGTTGCTGTCATGCGTTGCTGTGGCCAACCTTCCCTCCCTCTTTCTCTCCTTCTTTCCCTCCTTCCTTCCTTCTCTACCGATTTTCTTTCCTCCCTTTTTCTTTTCCTTCCCTTTCTCCCTTCTCTGCCTTTTTCCTTCCCTCCTTTGCTTTTTGCTTCCATCCTTCCTTTTGTCTTTCCTTCCCTCCCTCTTTCTCTTTCTTTCTTTCTCTTTTTCCTTCGCTCCCTTTTTCCTTCCTTTCCTTTTTTCTTTCCTTCTCTCCTTCCTTGTTTCTCTACCCATTTCTTTCCATTCCTCTTCTTTTCCTCTTTTTCTTCCCTCCCTCCCTCCCTCTTCCTTCCCTTTTTTCTGTATGTCATTTCTCTTTTCATCATTTCTCTTTTGGGGTTTTTTAAAGTCCTTTCCACTGTTTTTTTTTTGGGGGGGGGATATGGGTGATGGACACTCATTGGTCTGTTAGGAGTGTTTTGCCCAAATTTCGTGTCATTTCATCCAGTGGTTTTAGAGTTATGTTAATCCCACAAAGAAACATTACATTTTTATTTATATAAATTGCTTGTTTGGCTTATTTTAGCTTGGCCTATATGTGTTTTTTTCTTTTTTTCTATCTTAAGGTGTTGTATGTTTTTTCCCCCTTTTTTCTTTCATTCTAACAATGTATATTATTATTATTATTATTATTATTATTATTCACAAAGTGTACTTATTATAACAAAATTGTCTATATACAAGGCACCAATGAACAGTAGTAATTTTACACTTTCCGGTAACAGTAATAGCCATGTGTACCATTTGAAAAATGGGATCCTACTCCAAGATAGCATCTCTCAATAACAATGATAAGAATCATAATAATAATGGTTTTATTTCTTACCTGCCTCCCCTTGTGGCTCAAGACAGCTAACAGTATATTTAAAACACATATAAATTGTAAAAAAAACCACCTCAGTACACATATTAACATGTATTTCAATACAATATTCATATTAAAATGTATTTCTATAAAATATGTATTAAAATACACAACACGTAGATTAAACAAAGGACAAATGTCTAAAATTCATGTTTAAAACAGTCTAGGTAGGTCTGCCAGAAGAAATAAGTCTTTAGATGGTTTTAAAATTCTGACGGCTCATTTAGGTTTTGTTCCACAGTCGTGGGGCAGCCAATGGAAAGATCCTCTGCTTTAAAACCACAAGAGGAGGAGACTCCACTGAACTTCAGAATAGCACTTTCTTCTGTTGAACCTTAAGACGTTCTTTCTTATGTTTAGGCGGAGTCACTTTTCCTGTATTTGAATCTATTCACCAATGTGACAATTCATTATGGGCAGAACTCATAAGTGGTAGATAAGTTATTTGTATTGGTCACGATGACTAGAAGTGGACCTGCTGGGTTCAGTGACTACGTGATGTTGGGGATAAACATGAAAACATCACGCTCCTCATTAAAGAATCTTTGTGAGCAAGTGGTTAGCTGCAGTGAATGATGGGGCAGTGGATTAAATAAGCAGGAGTGTTTGCCTTAATGCTACTGTTGTAATCCAAAGATAAATAAATCTCAGAATTGGGATGTAGAAGATACCAGTTAGGACCTCAGTGACCGATAATTGAATTGTGGTTCTAAATTATTGAATGCCTACCCAGTCCTTTACTGTTAAACATTTCTTTGCTTTGTTTTGCATTAAATTTTATTATTTTCCAGGAAATAGATGACTACTATTCCCAATAATAGAGTGTTGTTTCCCTAGATGTGGCTGTTCTGTTGCCTTGGTCTCATTTCCTGCTAGGTGTTATCTTCCCGGGCAGGTGCAAGGAAGTGTTTGCAAAGCCACATAGAACAGGATCCTGGCTCTTTCTTGGATCCTGTTTAAGCATCAGTAAAGCAGCATGGAAACCTCTGACCTTGATTTCTTCCATGTTTTTGGAGTCCAAGTCACCTACGTCAACAGATGAGGAGGGCAGCATGGGGATTTTGTTCTCTATCCATGATTGAGCAGACAGAGTCTTTTTTTGTCTACTGTTGTAGCAATTTCATTTTCCAGTTAGATTAGGAACAAGTTCAACATGACCTAAAGTGGGTTTGCCTCTAATAATAGCTAGTCTGTAAACCTGTTATTACTTCTTATGAATGCTGATCTTGCCTGCATCTTTAAAGTTTTGGCCCTTGTTGTCACTCTTTGTAGATACCAATGCCTGGCTTGATTCCGACAAAGTCTTGGTATGCTGGTCAGCAGCTTACTATAGGTCAAGTTAATTTCAGGGAAGTAGCAATTTGTGGATCAAGCTTCTTTCTCCCCTGAATTTAATTGCCCAAATGGACTACTACCATTCTTCCTCTCTGGGTTGAAGGCTGCAGGAGGGATGAGGTGAAGTTGCCAATTCCAAGAAATGGATGGGCTGTTGACATGATTCCAGTTTTTTGTGTCTACCTTAATGGCTTTTGGCGTGTGGAATCCTGTAAAAATCAGGCTGTTCCATTATATTGTATTTTCTGTGTTCTTCCTCTGCCATCTCTAGTATTTTTGCTGTAAGGGTATCCTCTCAGACTTATTCCTCTCTTCAGCACTAGGTACTTTTGTCTCTGAAGGGCAAAATGCTGAGATATTTCCTGTTCTTTCATTCTCAGGTAACCGACAGCTGAAGTACATCAGCTTAGCTGTCTTAGTGGTGCAGAATGCCTCCCTCATCCTCAGCATCCGCTATGTTCGCACGCTGCCTGGGGACCGCTTCTTTGCCACGTCAGCAGTGGTCATGGCTGAAGTCCTTAAGGGAGTCACCTGTCTGCTCCTTATCTTCATTCAGAAGAAAGGTGGGCATCTTATACCTCACGCTACATGCAACAAACACCCCTTTCTTGTTTCATAGGATGCATACACTATGGAATTAATGAAGTTTGACACCACTTCAACTGTCTTTGCTAAATGCTATGTAATCATGGGCACTATTGTTCATAAGACCTTTGTTCTCTTCCAAAAAGTGATGGGTCTCCACCAGACTACAAATCCCAGGATTCTACAGCATTGGGCTGTGGCAGTTAAAACAGTGTCAAACTATATTGATTCCACAGTGTAGGTGCACCATTAGTCAAGAGTATTTCTTTTGAGCTTTTGCCTTTTCAATCTAGCGACTTGTTTGAAAAACCTAAAATGTTTTTCAACTTTTCAACCTTTAGATGTATTATTGCTACATCTGGAATTGCCTGGTTATGATTTTGATGATATTGCTATAAAGATGAGGACGTTATGGTCCTCTTTCCCTGTGTGTCAAAAATAATATCTCTATTAGAAAATAAAAATTCAATAATCTACTCAGATAATTAGGCCACAGAGTTAAATAAAGAGAAATCTGTACTTGTAGTAGTATGTAGATGATCACTAACATAAATTCCATTTAAAGGGGACAGAATGGAAGATTCCTCTGGCTATTATCTGCAATGGCAACAACGTATCATATTTCATTGCATAATAATCACTTTTCTCCCCTTTTCGTTTGGTCAAAAAAGGTGGGTGCAACTATTATGTGAGCAAAAGGGGCTTTTTTGTTCCAAAACAGTAATTTTTTACTCAATCAATGTTGAAAATGAAAATGTCACTTACTTGCTCATCTATTCACAACTGAGTGTGTGTATGGGTGAGTGTGTAGGTTGTTGGCTGGGTGGATGACTGTGTGTAGCGCAGCCCTGACTGTCTCAGCATGTCAATTACTTATATTCCTGTGTACTCTCCAAGGCAAAAGTGGGCCTCCCTGTGCCATCACTGATGTTCAGGCTAGAAAAGATGGGAGTGAAGAATCCTGTTTACCTTGCATGAGGGAAAGGTCACTTGGTGCATTCCTGAGCCATTGTTATTGGCATTCCAGGCTTTTCTTGGCCCTTGTTAAAAGCTTGTTAGCAACCAAAGCAGTAGATTCTGACTGTTTCTCCTTCTCCAGGTAACGTGAAACAGTTTGCCAGCTCCTTGTATGACTCCATCGTGGTGCAATACATGGACACACTCAAACTAGCAGTGCCTTCTCTCATTTACACCCTCCAGAACAACCTCCAGTATGTGGCTATTTCCAACCTGCCTGCAGCCACGTTCCAGGTGAGACACACGCTCTGGGACTATACTTATATGCAGGGTTTATCAAGGCTTAGGCATTAGAAACTCATGTTTAAATTATTCACAAGTATCCTGCTTAAGTTCTTTTCACTCACATTATACACAAGAGCCATTCCAATCCCTGCATCATCACCTTGAATGGTGGATATTCTGAATTGTGTTCCTTGATACTTTAAAACCCCTGTAGTAACTGTCAATAAAGTCATATGGAAGTGGCTAGAAATGTCCTTTATTCTTTGCTTCTTTGTTTTAGTTCTATAATCTTTCATTCATTATACATGTAATCCCTACCCAGTGGAAACATTTGTTGTAAAAATTTTTTGCTAGTAAAGTAGGTACCCTTTTATATAGTTGGTAGAAGCATCTTGCTGTTATGTTTCTCAAAAAAAGAATGCTGTAGTGGAAAATATTATTTTTGGGCAGGATGTATGAGAGACAGTGTGCTCTGCTCCCCAAATAGATGGATTATGTGATTATATACATTATACAAATCAAATAAATTGTAGATTGTTAAGTTGAATTTGTTTTTAAGTAGGAACACATTTTTAAATGTAACTCTAGCTAAAGATAGGTAGGTAGGTAGATCTTTGCACAACATAGGGAGGGTTAACACCCCTGTGGTGTTTGTTTTGCTGTCTCTGTACCTGTTCTGAAGATTTCTTTGCACTTTCTGTACCTGTGATAATTGGATTTTTAAAAAATTGGCTTGTTGTAGAAACAAGGATTGGTGATAAAGCTTCAGTGGAGACACCTTTTCCCCATGATTACGTTTTCAGGAATTAATTTCCTTTTCCCTTTTGGTAGTTTTCTCTCACTTCTTGTTGTCTCACCTGAGTCATTTTTAAGTCGGGTATTTGAAAGTTGGTAACTACCTGTAGTCTGGTTTTGGTAGCTGGAAAAAAGAGCAATCAGCACAAATACTGTCCATTTATTCTCAACGATGTGGTTAGGCACTTTTAAGGGCGAGAAACTTTATTAATGTGAACGCAGATATGGTTCATAGTGGCTCTTCTCCCCTACTCCTGCTCTGCATTCTTTGACTCTTCCACCCTTTCCCTCAAATCACAGTAGGAATACACAGGTTTAAGCAATCTGGTTATGCCTTTTTGACTAACGGGGAAGAAGAAAAATCTAGCACTAAGCTTTTGTAGACTTGTTTCATCATCTGCAAGTGAACAACCACATATGATGAAGTTGACTGAGATCATGGCAGTTTATGCTAAATATGATTTTTTCCCATTTAGTCTCAAAGGTGCTTCAGGATCTCTATGTCTTTTTATGCTCAAACTGATTGACAGGCTGTATTTCTGAATGCTATAGTATACATTAGTTTTGAATAAGCATTTCTGTTCCCCTTTCAGTTCAGCAGCCCCTCCCTTATTGTCATAAGCTTAAACAGTTACCTGAGTTTGTTCCCAATTTTATGAAATTGGTACATATAACACACTCTCTAATGTCATATGGATAATGAGATGCAATATGAATAGTATTGTGAGGCTAGACTACACCCTCTCATCCAATGCATTTATCTGATCTCAGTAAGGGAGTCTGAATTTCCGTAGCTATCTAGAGACCGCATAGACAGAGTCCTGCCCTGACCGACAGCTGTCCTATTTTGTGACATATTGTGATACCTATTAAACTGCACTGCCTTTTTCAGGTCACTTACCAACTGAAGATCCTCACCACAGCTGTCTTCTCAGTGCTAATGCTCCGCAAGAGCCTGTCCCGTCTCCAGTGGCTCTCCCTCATGCTCCTTTTTGCCGGTGTGGCCATTGTCCAGGTGGAGCAGCAGCAGGCAGGGGGCAAAGGAACCCCTGGGGGCCAAGGGACACATCAGCAACAGAGCTACATTGTGGGGCTGGTGGCTGTGGTGGTGTCGTGCCTCTCGTCCGGCTTTGCCGGAGTCTATTTTGAAAAGATCCTCAAAGGCAGCGCAGGCTCGGTCTGGCTTCGTAACGTCCAACTGGGCATCTTCGGGACCTTGCTGGGGCTGTTGGGCATGTGGTCCACGGATGGGGCAGCTGTAGCTGAGCGTGGATTCTTCTTTGGCTACACCTCGCTGGTCTGGGCCGTGATTCTGAACCAGGCCTTCGGGGGCCTTCTGGTGGCAGTAGTGGTGAAATATGCGGACAACATCCTTAAGGGCTTTGCCACCTCCTTCTCCATCGTGGTGTCCACCGTGGCTTCCATCTACCTCTTTGACTTCCACCTCAACTTGCCCTTTGCTCTAGGAGCAGGGCTGGTCATAGGGGCCGTCTACTTGTACAGCTTGCCCAAAGGACCTTTGACCAGCCGATCCTTAATGGGGACTGCTGTGCAGCAGCAGGGCCACCCAGCACAGAGCAAGGAACTTCCTTCCGTGACGACAGACGGCTTCCTGACCAAGTCAGTGCTGGTCAATTGAGAACAACAGACCACATTCTTCATACTTACGCTGGTTTTTGCAAGAAGTTTTCACAACACTGGGCCACTCCACCCCAGTCTCCTATGGTTCCCATCTGATTTTCTCTCTCCCTCATTTTGCTCTTTTCTTTTTCAATTGCTTTTTTCTTCCTTGACTTTGTGCAAAACTGTACGCATTCCTTTTCTGTTCCCAGCTGCTCCTTTGCTAGTCATCTTAACAGATCTCTCTCTTTCATTGGACCTGCTTCGTAGCACTTATGTAGCTCTTCTCCTAAAAGCTGCTTCTGCCATTGACCAACTCAAGCTATCCAACTTCTCTCAACTCCCTCACACCTTTCTTGTTTTTTCATTATCCCTGTTTAAGAGCACTGACTGCTCCAGATGAAGCAGTTAAGGGGGTGGCTTTTGAATTGCTCACACCCTTTACTCTAAGACCTTTCAAGTTATCCCTCTTGTTTGGTCTACAGGGAGCAAATTTACAAAGAGATGTATTTTTATATGAACACTTTGAATGATGGATCAAAGTGGTGGTGGTGAGGGGGGAATGTGATATCCTTGTTTTTTTGGAGGGTAGAAGGAGATCTTACTTGCCATTTCAAGTCTACCAATATTCTGTGTGCGTGTGAATGGGGGTGGGTGTCTAAAGGTCACCTCAATGAAAGTGGTCAGTGGGGATTTGTCAAATTTGCCTATTATGGCAGATGTAGTTACTTAGAGTGGGAGAGAGTTGAGTACAGAGGGGGATTATGAAAAAGAACCCAACTCCGTGTGTGTAAGTTACCAAAGTATGGGATGGATGGGTTGTGAGTCCTGCATGGGGAAACTGACAATAGCTGGATTACTCTTATCTCCAGCTCTGGGTATGTAATGAGACTTGTTGAATCATAGTGGAATGTGTGCTGAATCTGAGGCATCATTTATTCTTTACTTCTTTCAGTGTATATTTGATGTCCATGAGCATCTGAAGGTCACTTGGGGTGGGGCATGGGAGCATAATCACTAGTTACTAATTGAGATTTCACCATGGGTGAAGGGCAAATGAATTGTCTCATTGAGGCATTTGGCTTGGAAAGAGCTTTGAGGAAACGGACTGGTTTGCACAGGCTTGCCAAGTGTGGGTAGTGTGGAAGATAGACTTCCATCAACTCGAGAATGGAGTCAGGCGAGAAATCCTTTATATCACATATTTGCTGCTGCTGAGTGGAGATACTTGGAAACTGAAACTTGAATGCCAGTTCTTTTGGAACTGAAGGGTGCCTGCAGGGGTGAATGTATAGCAGGACAGTGAGTAGTCATCCATTTATTTTATGAAACGGGGTTTGAGTGTGTCCATCAATTGCAACCAGGATTCCTGGTCAGCTCTCAACCACATACCATATCCGGTTGCAGCTTGGACAGGCTACTTTGCTGGGATGGCGAATACCAGAATTCTTCATTTGGGATGTTTCTGAGATTCTGGAAGTAGGAGTCCAAAAAAAAAAAAGAAATACAGCTGTATTGTCGAAGGCTTTCATGGCTGGAATCACTAGGTTCTTGTGTGTTTTTTCGGGCTATAGGGCCATGTTCTAGAGGCATTTCTCCTGACGTTTCGCCTGCATCTATGGCAAGCATCCTCAGAGGTAGTGAGGACCTCACTACCTCTGAGGATGCTTGCCATAGATGCAGGCGAAACGTCAGGAGAAATGCCTCTAGAACATGGCCCTATAGCCCAAAAAAACACACAAGAACCTAAAATACAGCTGCCCTTGAGCTCTGTAGAGGAGCCACTAAGTTGAAGGCAGCATGCCTCTGTAGCCTGCCAAGCATTTCCACATGTCCTTGGCTTTGACCCTCCAAGTAGTCAGTGTGAGAGGCCCTTGCAATCTGGAAAGCATGGTAGTGTGGCAGTGGTGAGCTTAGTGGATCAGTTGTTTATGGGCTTGAGCCATAGCTTTACAACTGAAGAGCAAACAGGGCAAACAGGCAGGTCATGCCCACCATGATACCTGTTTCCCAGCTGGCCGGGGTGAGGATTACTGCGGGTTGGCCTGCTTTTATGTATTTTCTACTGTTTTGGGGCTGTTTGTTGGGTGGTGGGTTGAGGTGGAACGGGAAGCACTAACCCCTAGAGGGCCTGGGGATGGGGGTTTGGCGCCGGCAGTACAGGTTGGGTTTTTTTTTGTGCTGGAGCGTGGGGAAAAGATAATCAGAAAGTAACACAGTGTATATAAATGGGATGGTTTTTTAAAAAGACGGTTGATTGTTTTCTACAAATCCTGCTTTTTTAAAAAGGAAAAAACAAACAAAAAATAACCTGTACTGTTTGCCAATGTACATAAACCACAGATGAATAAAGAGAGTGTATTTATTTAGCCTTATTGTTGAATGATTGAGGAAGCCTTGAATTGGGCAGCTTTCCGTCTCACTCACTGCATGTCTAACCCTATTAACACTGGGAAGGGACTGGGTTGGTTTGGTGGGAGAGGGAGGGGGCTTTCCTTCCATGGGGCTTGGTCTGGGGAGGGAACGCAGTCAAAAGTCACAAGAGGCAAGCAGGAAAGGGCTGGCTTTTGAACAAGGCTTGGTGCAGGGCTGTTTTGTTTCTCGGAACACAAAGAAAGAAGGAAGCTGCTCACCATTGAAAATCCAAAAAAATTAAGACTAGGATAAACAGAGTAACCTGCTGGCTAAATACATTTGGATTCTACTTTGTTTAGTTAATGTCAAACTTATAAACTAGTGGGATGTCTCTTCAGCAGAAATGTTAACTATAGGGATAGGAGCAAAATGAGTACCAATAAGAATTCTGACCCCCAGCACACATGACATTTTCCCTCAGCCTCCAAATTGCTGGCATTGCAGAGACTCAGAAAATAGTTCACACCTTGAATTCTCATTTTTGGGGATGCCTGAACTCTTTTTCCAAATTTTCAACTTAAGTTTCTAATTACTGCAATGTTTAAAATTTAGGGAGTAGAGGAAAATTTCACTACGGCAGGGACTGAATTCTTATTGGAAGGGATGCCTTCATTTTGCTCCCTGCAACGTCCTTTGTAGATGTGACCATTCAGCCCTGGTTTTCTCAAGGAATGATAGGGACCTTCTTAATAAAGAGGTTCATAGATTGAATACTGCACTCTTGGGCTTGCAGGCTGCACAACCTCCAGGTGTTTGGAACTTCAACTCTCAGGAGCCCAAGCCAGTTGTTCCAATGGTCAGGAATTCTGGGAGCTGAAGCCCAAATACCTGGAGGGCCGCAGATTGTGTAGCCTTGGGAGGATCTGACTTCAGCAATTCCTTATTTAAAATATTAAGATGTAGGAACATACAATGACAGTCCAGAGTTACGATCTGATGCTGCATCTCCTGTTGAGATTGTCAGAGTCAGAAAGATGGGTTGTAAATGGCCTTTGAACGTAACATTTCAAATACAGGGTGAGGCAGCATAACTTCCTTTTTTCAAAACTTAATAAAACCCATTGTATGAATCAGATTTTTTTATTTTTTTTATAATGTAGGCGCATACCTAAAGTTTTGTTTTATGTAATTTTGAAGATCAAATTAGGTAGGTGATGTCCCCCATTCTCCATACATTGAGTAAACTAATTTCTGGCGTTTGTCATGACTCTTGCCAGCATAGCAGGCGTTATGTAGGCAATTTCGTCCTGGATGTTGGTCTTCAAATCTTGTAGTGTCTTTGGACAGTTCACATAAACATGGGATTTCAAAAAACCCCATAGAAAAAAAGTCACAAGGGACCAAATCTGGAGAGCGGGCCGGCCACTCCAAAACCACTCAAAAAGTAGGCCTCAACGGCAAAAGCACGCTCCTCACTGTTCCAACGCATGATGGTGACTGAACTGTGTCAGGACAAAACTTTATACTCCCATCTCTCGAACGAGACCACTTGCGCTCCACTACATCTTCAACCAACTGAATGGTGCACATTTTAAAAAAGGAAGTTATGCTGCCTCGCCCTGTATTTATTTTTAATAAGGCACATCCTATTATCTGGCTCCTATCCTGACCTTATGTTATTAATGGAAGATATTCTTGAGGTACTCATTTTTAAGTGTGCAGTGCTCAATTTCAATTCATATTCCTGCCATGCATTTTTCAAAGAAATTCAGGATTGGTTGTTAATTGTGACTTGGAAAAAACAATTGCTAGGTGGGGGATTCTGGGAGTTTTAATTCAAAAAAGGAAATGTTCTATGTTAAAGCTTTCATTTTTTAACTGGAAGTTGGATGAGAAAGAGCATAAAAGCGAACTAGTCCTGGATGTAAAGTCAGAGTGAAGTTACAATAGGTGTCTCTACTACAACTTTGAAATATTGGAAAGGAATGTTAATATGAGCAACCCACACCAGAGTTCAGGGGATAGCTCTCGTCACACTGAGGGCGTTAATAATAGTCTTCTGAGTGGATGACACATTTTACTACGTTCCTCTATTTTCACCCCAACTTTGTGAAAGCTTGCAAAACAACATTATCCTGGCTGGGGGATTCTGAGAAATATAGTCAGAAGAACGGCCGATTTGGACCATACCACTTCAGCCTGCAGGTGAGGAGGGACCATGTGGTTGAACTGAACCTCTGCACAACAAACGCCTTACAACTAGGGAATGAGATTCAAAAAGGTCAGGCCTAGATGCAGAAGGACTAGTAGTGCATTCCTAATGTACCTCCTTTGTAAGCAGAAAGGCCATCACTGCCATCTCTGGATCTGTCTGAAGACCCAAGAAAGACTGAAACAAGGAGAGATGATGCCAGAAGAGAGAGTATAATATTGGAGAACCTCAGCGATGAGACAGGACAGCTTATGTTTTGCACATAATTTTTTTTTAAAGTAGAATGGATAGCAAGACCACTCAGTGGAACAATCTATGAACAGTAGTTACTAAAATAATCTATTCAGTCTTCAGTCCCCTCATCTCCCTTCCCCTGCAGTTTAGAATCACAAAAATATTACTGTCAGAAAACTAAAACAGCATCAAAGCAACA